GCTCCTGGAGAGGAGGCTGCCCTGAGGGGCCTGCTCAGGCTTTGGGCACTGCCCAGCCAGTCACTCTTCTCTTTGAGAAGTTGAGGTGGGGGTGGGGCCTGGCATCATGGCTTCCCTGGTGACCCTGTTTTCCCAAATCACACCCTGGCCTTCTCAAGACAGCAGCCGAGCATGGGGTGGAGTTATGGTTTCGATCCAGCTTGGTCTCTTGCTGGGGTCCTTGAGGCCAGCACCCTCCGCTTGCTAGCCTCCCCTCCCACCATCTCCTGCACTCAGGTCCTTCCTTCCCAGCTGTGGCAGGGGTGGAATATCCCCCTTCCTGACCCCGCCCTGCTGACCTAGGCCAGAGGGAGACAATGTAGGCGAGAAGGGAAGGGCAGATATTCCACTGAGCACATGCCAGTCCACGCTCTGTGTCTGGGGGATGCAGAGCACGTGGCCAAGAACAAGGGATTTGGAGTCAGCAGAGGCGGGTTCAAATTCTGCCCCTGCCGCATTCCAGCTGCGTGACCCAAGGTGGCTGTGACTGGAGCCGCAGAGCCAGCACTGGTGCCTCAGTTTCTTTATCTATCAAATGGGGTTAATGATAGTACCTGCCAGCTGGGGGGACTTGGCTGAAACTCCAGGGCTACTCTCTACATTGCCAGGCCTGAATTGATTGAACCTTCAGCACTTGGGAGGCAGACATCATCTAAAGGGTTTGTGATAGCATCTCTTTTTCTTACTCAAGGTCGTATTAAGTAATCAGTCAGCAGGTAACACCAGCATGGGATTCTCAGTCCTCTGCTGGTGAGATGACTTTTTTCCCCGGAAGAGCCAAAGAACTGGAGACCCTGGACCCTGTTATAGGAAAGGTTGACAAGGGAAAGGGCTTTTCCTGTTGCACACACTTGACAAGCCTTGGTCTCCAGTCCGCAGCTACACTGGCTCTGTGTTCTGGGGCCTCTGGGCTCCCTGCCTCGTGTGCTTGCCGTGAGGTTTAAGTGAGATAATACGTGCCGTTTGATTAGAAAGCTCCTTGGCAAACAGACACTCAAGAACACTTGAGATATGTTGGCCATTGTTACATTTATTGCTTTTGTTAACCTGGTCCCTGACACATAGCAGGCAACTCAGTAGGTGCTTGTTATTTCACTGCTGGGCTCTGAGGCCCCAATTTCAAGGACCGTGGGAGGCACTGAGAACAGAGCAGGGGTACAGGGAGGAGAGTCAGGCCCCAGGGGAGGGCTGTTAGGAGGTGGGGCTGAGATGGAGGTGGGGGTGGAGGTGATAGGTGGGGTGAGGGCTCTGCAGTCCCTAAGGGCCCTTTGGTTGCCCCCACCCCTGCCAGAGGCCTGGGAACGCTTTGCCAAGGAGAGTACCGATCGGGTCACCATTGATGCGTTTCCCCATGTGTTCCTCAGAGGCGCCCCTGGCTGCCCATCACGGATCTAATCAGCTTCAGATGACCGAAGGTGCCTGTACCGAGCAGCTGCTACACGTCTGGGGACACGTGGCGTTTTGGTGGGGTTTGGAATCCAGCCGTGGCTCAGGGACCCTGTGGGTGGGGAGTCTCTTGTCCTAGGGTCACTTCTGCTCCAGGCTCGCCGTGTCGCTGGAGTGGCTCTCTGCCCCGCTGTGTCACATCTGTGCAGTGGGGGATGGGACTAGGTGCTTTCTGAGGACCCCAATGGGATTGTTCTGTAACAAAGGTCACCCAGAAGGTGGCGAAGTGGGCCAGGTGGCAGGATCCTAACTACACGGCCTCAGGTACCAGGCAGGGGCCCTGAGCCTCACTGTAGGAGGCAATGCAGGGCCACTGACAGCGCCCTGCCCTCGTGGAGCTGGCATTCAGGCCCCTGCTGGCCCTGTTACCCAGAAATCCCTTACCACTCTCCTGGGGCCTCTGTCCTCCCTCACATTGTCCCAGAACGCCGGAGCTTTGCCTGACTGCTCTCGGAGCTCCTCAGTACTTGAGACTAATGATGGAAACATTGGGCGCCGGGCCAAGCCACCGAATCGCTCAGCCTGGGACCTTTACTCCCTCTGACACGCCTTCCCCACGCCACGTGATCTAGTTCAACTTCAAGGAGGGCTGGTGCCTTTGATCCCCGAGCCAGTGGGGAGCGTGTCAGGAACCACGGGCAGCGATGCCAGCTCTGGCCTGACTTCTGAGCCTCACGGGCTCCTGGAAAGGGCCCAGGCTCTGCCATCTGGGATTTCCCTCAGTGCCTCGGGACAGGGTTGAGATTGTCCATCTCTGAGTGTCTGAAGCTGAGCAATCTAGAGGTGAAAGCCACTCCGTCTGCCCCTGAGAGGGATGAGCAACAGAGGCAGCCCTGTGCCGGTGGCTCCGGCACCACTGAGTCAGACCATTTGAGGGACTTGCTGACTGTGTGACCTTGGGCAAGTCACTCCAGATCCCCTGGCCCATTTCTCCATCTGCCCACAGCGGGCAGTGATGAGAGCTAAGGCCATGCCCCTAGGGGCCTGGCACGCAGTAGTTGTGATTACTGCCAAGTTCATTACTTCCATAGGAGCTAGACCAGGTGGGTGGGGAGCACTTCTAGAGAGGATGCTGAGCCACCACTGTGTGGGTGGGGAAGGGTGCTTCAAGGAAAGCTTTGAGAGAGGTGACAAATGACCTGGGCTGTGACGGATGATTAGGAGCTTGCCTGGTAGAGATGGTAGAAGGAAGTGCATGCAAAGGATATGCTTGGGAACAGCAAGAAGTTCAATGCATGCCAAGGCTGGTGGGAGATAAGGCCAGGATTGTTCAGTGAGGTCGGAGCGTAGGCGGCCTTGGGTGTCAGGCCAAGGAGGGCAATGGGGAGCCATGGAATGTGTTTGAACATAGGAGAAGTATAATCAGAGCTGTGCTTCAGGCAGATTAATCTGGCAGTGGCAAAATACCTTGAGGGCAAGAAAAGCAGGCTCTGGTTTTATATCCCAGCTCTGCCTTATTCTAGCTGGGAACCTTGGGCAAGTTACGTTCCCTTTTGTGACTCAGTTTCCTCATTTTTAAATGAGGCTTATAATAGTGCTGAGGGTTTAATGGGATAACACTTGCAAAGAGCTCCGATGGTGTTGACCACACAGCAAATGCCTGCGGGTTGTGTGCGGGGCAGATGGGAGGAGCAGAGACCAGAGCTGGAGGCTAACCAGGAGGCTGTGCCGGGTCCTGGTGAAAGACACTGAGGATGGGCTGAGGCCTCAGAGGAGAGAGGGGTAAAGCACAGGCAGAGACAGACCATGCATCATAGAGGAGAGCACTGCCCTTGGAGCCCAGCAGGCCTAGTGTGGAGCTCCACTCTGGTGTGTCCCAGCTGTATGAGCTAGGAGAGGCCCCTCGTTTCTCCAAGCCTCAGTTTTACTCACCTATAAAATGGGCCTGCTGACCCCCACTGCTCAGGGCCTTGTTGAGGAAGAATTGGGGGTGCCAGGCTCCTGGGAGACACCTGCCAAGTGCACTTTGAACTTGAAACTGGTGAGAAGGGCAGAAGTTGCTGAAGAGGTGACTGGAAGGAGGGAGAGCATGACAGGCAGGGGGAAAGGCAAGGGGGATGGGGGACGTTTGCTAGTAATTAGAACGTTTGAACTTCAAAAAAGTTAATTAATGATGAAGCTGCTACTGGAGCGATGCTCAAGCTAGAAGAGGGCCCTGGCAGCGACTGAAGTTAATTACAGGCTGTGGTGGGAGAGTGGCAAAGGAGTGGGGGGGCGGGCAGGAAGGAGCAGAGCTGGGATGAGGAGGGTCTGAGGGGGAGGCAGGAGGGAAGGCAGCATCCCAAGGTGAGCAAGGGCCCAGGAATGAGAGGGAGGCTGTTGCCACGGAAACCATGTCAGACTTCCATCAGGCAAGAGGACTCACCCTTCCACTGAGTGGGGGGTTTGGCTAAGGGTCTGGCTGGCATAGCTACATCTGAGCTCAGAGCAAGGGCTTTGAAATTGAGGGGCCAGGCTTTCATTTGGGGGCAGTCAAGAATCCTTGGATGTCAGAGTGGGCAGGGCCCAGAGAGATGGATTTACTTATTTGTACAACAGACATTTATTGAGCTCCTCCTAGATTCCTGTCACTGTCAGAGCTGTGAATGCAAAACCCCTGTCCCCTTGGAATGTAGATTTTAGCTATCGATAAAGTCAATGCTCATGTCAGCAAGACAACTTGTGAATGACCCAGGCCCTCAGTCCCTTCAAGCTCTGGCTCCTTGGCTCCTTGACTCTAGGTGGATTGGGAGGGGTGGGACTTGACATCATTCGGCTGTGTTCGAAGCCTGGGCAGGAATCAGCCAGGAAGGAGATGGGTGCTGATAGGGCGAGTGATCTGGCTTGGGGAGCCCACTCATCCTGGGTCCAAGCAGGTGCCCCAGAGGCCCTGCAAGGTTGATGGCAGTGGGAGACTTTCTGCCTGGGCAGACCTGAGGACATTGAGCCCCACTCCGCTTGGTTCGGAGCCTGGGGAGGGCCTAGGCACAGATATGCCAGAGTCTGGTGATGAGCTGTAACCCAGCCACAGGAGAGAAGAGAAGGACAGGGGTGCCTGGCCAATCTCAGCCATGCTGGACAACCCCTTGGCAGGCTTCAGCTCCAGGCCTTTGGCAGAGATGGAGGGGGCATGGGTCGGGGAGGGGAAGGGTGGTCAGAGAAGGAGGCAATGACAGTCAGAGGGAGGTGGTCAGAGATAGAGAGGCCGAGAAAGTCCAGAGATGGCCTGCCCGCTGGACCTCTGAGAGCCTCTCCTTTCCTGAGCGGGGAGCTCTCAGACTTGGGCAAGGGTCCTGGCAGGTAGCAGCTTGATGGGGTTTGGGTTCCCTGGTGGGTTTGGCACGTGTGGCCATGTCTATTGTGAGGGAGGGTAGGCTGGCTCCAAGGTCTCTAAAGGCTTTGAAAATGTGGGCTTGACCCATCAGGAGAGACACCTGGAGGGGAATGGGGTGTGGGCTTGTGTTTGTGGTGGGTGGGTGTACTCTGACCCCATGGCTATGGTCCCCTAACTGTTTTGTCCTTGACTTCGTGTGTACGTGGTTTGAATGTGTCAGCATGCTGGTGATCCTACTGAACTGCGTGACACTGGGCATGTACCAGCCGTGCGACGACATGGACTGCCTGTCTGACCGCTGCAAGATCCTGCAGGTGAGGCCGGCTGCTCTGGGCCCCGTCCACCACCCCACCCCACCCAATGCCCCCCCAAACCTGCCCCTCTTCGCTCTGCCCTGCCCGGCCTAGCCACGTCTTCACCGCCTGGCCTGCCCTTGCTCCCCTGGTGGTCCTCTTCCTCACTCCCACCTGGTCTTACCCATTTCCCTTTGTAATCCTCTCTCTCTTCCATCCCCTTCTCTCTATCTCAAGGCTTCTGCCCTAGTCCAGGCCCCCTTTTTCTCCTGCCTGAGGACCACCACCAGGTTCTTCCTGGTCTCCCAGAAATTCCCTGCAGAAAGCCTGCCTTGGCTCCAGTGCTCTTGGAATAAAGGCTGGGCTCCGTAACTCTCAGTCGGTGCCTTTAGGAGTGGCCTCTTGTATCTCTCCTGTTTTCAGCTCACCGAGGTCCCAGGTGGAGGCCTGACCTTTGATCCCTGCAGCACAGGTATACCTAGAATGCAGGGTGTTAGGCTTATACCCATTTTACATATGTAGAAAGGAAACATCCAAGTCTGTCTCCCTGGGAAAGTCAGATTCCTCCTAGGAGGAATTGCCATCTGTCTCTTACGTTTCCACAGGGCTCAGCAGTTCACAAGCTACTTGGGGCCTCTGATTCCTTTGGGGCACTTGTTAAGGATCCAGACTCCTGGCCCATCCCAAACCTGCAGAATTAGAATCTCTGGGGCAGTCTGGGGCCCAAGTGGGTAACAAGCTCCTTGGCCAGCCCTGGGGCCCTGGGTGGAGTTAGAACCAATTAACCTCAGCGGATACTAGGCTGGCTTCCCTACCAGGCGGTGAGTTCACTGAGCACTCATCTCTGTGTCCTCGACGCCCAGTCTACGTCCTGCACACAGGAGGTGCTCAGAGCCCACTTGTTGAACTGAATTTACTGTAGCCCTCTCTGATCCCTGAAAGAGGAACTCCACACAGGCCCTGTCCTCAGGAAATATACACTCACTTGAGCCTGTGGCTAGGACATTTGAGGCCTCCTTTCTGAGCCAAGGAGGGCAGCATTCAAACCTGTGCCCAGGAAGATGTCAGGCCCATTTTGAGAAAGCTCCTTCCACGTGACTTTTGGAGTCAGATAGACCTGAGTGTCATTTCTGGTTTTCCATTCACTGTTGTGTGATTTGTGGCAAGCGGCTTAAGCAGTCTGAGCCTTGGTTTCCTCATCTGTAAAATGGGAATATTCAGGGGATCATTGTGAGAATTGAAGAGAGAATGCAGATCACATGTCTAGCCCAGTGCTTGGTGATTATTAGGAAGGGCCCCTTTGCCCCACTCCCAACTGGGTCCCTTGTCAGTACACTTGCTTTTAGAGAACAAATAGAGTGGGCTGGATGACCTTGGGCAAGCTCATTTCCCATTCTACCTCAGTCTTCTCATCTGTGAAATGACCGCATTGGACCAGGATCTCTGAGGTTCTCTTCCTGCCCAGGAGGAGAAGTTTCCATATCTTCCCCTGGCCACTCGTATCTGTGCCCATGTTCCCACCTAACACCGTGGCTCTGAGCCCCAGATCCTGCTCCAGAACCTCACGCTGTCCCTTGCTTCTTGCCTTCCTCCTGCCCCTGCAGGTCTTTGATGACTTCATCTTTGTCTTCTTTGCCATGGAGATGGTGCTCAAGATGGTGGCCCTGGGCATTTTTGGCAAGAAGTGCTACCTTGGGGACACATGGAACCGACTGGATTTCTTCATTGTCATGGCGGGGTAGGTAGACCATATCAGACAGGTCCTAGCCTGTAGTGCATGCCAGACAAAATTTATGTAATCTCATGGGCTTCTTGGTAATAACGATGAAGCTGTGTGGTAATGCCTGGGTCCCTCCTGGACCCCTGCAGTGGAAGGAATGATGTCTCTTCACAGAATGGCCTGGACAGACAGACATTCCTTCCTCTCTACTCTGGTAAATCATGTGTCTTCCTGCACTGTCAGCTGATACTGCATCTATTTTTTTTTTTTGATACTACGTGTATTTTATACTAACTATGATCTTGAGAAAGCCACTTAAACTCTCTAAGCCTCAGTTTCCTCATCTGTAAAATGGGAGTAATAGATAATGAAGAGTAGCTACATCAAAGTGAGCACCCAGTAAATGTTGACTATTATTATTACCATCATCCTAGATCACTCGGCAGGTCAGAGATCTAGCACAGACTCAAGTACTGTCTGACTCCAAACTGTGGCTATTTCTGCCAAGGTGTAAGCTACAGTCAGAGAGGCCAGGTGATAACTTAGCCTGTTTTGGCGCATCTTGGGCCCTGCTCTGTGCCTTGTTCTTGCTTTCCTGGGTCAAACCAGGCTGATGGCCCATTCATACACTCCTCCAACAAGCAGGGGTTAAATGAGCACCTACTAAGTGTTTGGGCCTACTGAGTGCTGCCCTAGTTGTAGGGTATGGAGGATGGCACATCCAGACGTAGACTTTGTTCTTCCCCACTACCGTCTGGAGAGAGGCACCCGGCAGCCACATGGGTAAACATGCCATGCTGAGACCAGGGATCTGGGAAAGCGTCGTGGTTTTCTGAGAGCATTTCTGGGCCAGGCTGGGGCTTGCAGGCTTGAGGACTTGTCTGAGGAGGTGACACAAACACAAGAGCTGAAGGGCGAGCAGGTGTTAACTATGCCCAGTAAGGGTCAATATGGCAGAGGTGAGAAGGGGAGACCAAAAGGCTGGCAGCCCATGAGTGTGGGCCTGTGTGTGAGTGTGTACCTGTGTCAGTGTGTGAGAGCATGTGTATACGCATATAGGTCTTGCCAGCATACGTGTGTGATGCCATATTTGGAAGGGACAGAGGGTGGACGGGCACACAGCTGCGCTGGCGAGTTAGCATCACCGAGTAGATGCTGAATTCCACAAATGTGCCCTGAAGTGAAAAGATTCACTCATTGGTGTTCTTTAAAATGTTTTAGCTCTTCCGTGTATCCTGTCCTAAGAGCTGTATTTAATTTCACAACCATGTTGTCAACGATGGTTTAGACCTAAGTAGAAGTTCTCTTGGGTCTTTATGGTGTCCTGTGAACTGTGTCACCCCTTTGACAAAGTCTTCATTCTCAGTCTCATTTTGGTTTGGCTGGAGGACATCCTTAAGCAGTTTTTTTATTTTTTTATAATTTTTTTAAGGGAAGGTATTTGGATCGTGTCATTTTCCAGTCTTGTCAGTCCAAAAATATATTCCTTTGATCTTTGTGTGTGAAGGGTGGTTTTTGTCTGCACTGTTCTAGAGTCATAATTTTTCTCCCTCAGAACCCTGCACATGGCACCATCCAAACCTACACCACAGTCACTGAGCTATACCCGTCCCGACCCCTTTTAGAACTCAAGATTCGTGTAATTCTTCAGGTCAGAAAAAACCTCTATACCTTCTTCGGTGATTGCCCATTCTCTGCTGTCTCCTGAAATTCCCATAGGTGGCTGTTTCCCTCCTCAGTCTGTGCTCTGCATCTTTCCTCATTTCTCTCACAGAGTTCGCCCGGATGAGGAGAGAATTCCTTGGCTTGGCCTCTGAATCACTAATGAGTTCCTTTTCCCTCTTACAGTCCCTGATGGAAGCTTTTGTCTCCTCTGTGTCTTTTTAACACCAGGATCGCTTCTTGTCCTTGAATGTCTCGTTTTTCAGAGCAGTTTGTTTTAGTGGGCGCAACAGTCACTCATCTCATTACAGGTACAGATTAGGCTTCTTAAAAGTCCTTTCCTGACCCCAAAGTCCAAGCATAATTTTCAAAAAGTTAAAAAAAATTACCCTCACACAAATCTTAGAAGGAACATGTATCACAGATTTATTCAGCTCATTAATGAGGAACCAGCAGGATGGTAATCAGCCGAATTAGGAAAATAGACATTGGAGGAAAATTATAGGAATAAGAGGGGACTAGAATCAAAGCTAGTTAGTGGCTTTATAGGGCCATAAAACCATAACCTTTGGGGTTATCTTTTATATTGGGCAGAAATCACTTACGAATCTCTTATGAGTTCACATGTAATTTCACAACAGCCAGACCTTTAATTAACAGTAAAGAGTGACTCGAACAAGGTATATTTCCCTAGATAATGAGATAATCTTTATACGGGTCTGTTAAATAATGCTCCAAATGCCATTGTGAGAAGTACTGCCCTCCCTTTGCCATATTTCCCAGTTTTAGGATGATTTTTCTTAACTCCCGTTTCAGAGAAGTCATTTGTTTTGCTGGCTCCTCATGAGTGCCCCTACTCCGCCCTTTTGACTTGAAGAGTCTCCTCTGTTGCTTAATGATTCCCCTCATCTGCTCATATTTATAAATAAAGACAGCGAAGATCTAAGCTGAGCGGAGTGAGGAGCTGGCCTGGCTTCAGCACTGCCGTGGGGTCTCCGTTTGCTATCTTCTCTCAGTCCTTGGGGTGGGGTCCACAGGCCAGCATCCTCCTGGGGGTCAGGGAGGGCTGGACGCATGTGCAGTCCCATAGGGCCCCATGCTTGGTTTAATGCTCTGCTCGCACCATTTTGAAATTCTCAAGAAGTTTTGAACAAGGAGCCCTGCGTTTTCACTTAGCACTGGGCCCTGCAAATTATATAGCCAGTCCTGGCTGGGGGGCGGGTTCAACAAAGACATTTTTGGGAGAGGCATGAATAGCCTTGGGCAGGAGGCTAGGGACTCCAGTGACCTACCCCTGTCCTCAAGCTCCGCCCTGTGCTTTGTGCCTGGGGATGATGAGCGCAGAGGGCAAGATGGGAAGCCACAACCCCCAGCATCAGAACGCAGCCCCCCCAGCCCCACCCAGGCTCGCAGCTATAAATGTCCTGTTTCCCGAGTAACAGGCCTGTCATCCCGAGAATGTTTTCTTCCTTCCTGCTCCTCCTCTTCCCTGAATTACTGGCTCCCTCTTCAAGTGATGGAGGAGACAGAACCTCCACACTGGAAAGTTCCTCAGAGGTCAGAGCCTTTGTTTCAACATCCAGTCCGCCACCTGGGCCAGCTCACAAGACAGCCTATCGCAAACTGGGACAACCTGCTGTGCTAGACAGTTCTTTCGCTGAGCCGAAATTTGTCTTCCTGTAGCTCGCACCTGATGGGACCATGCGGTCACTGATTCATTCACAAAATCAGCATTTGCTGAGCACCTACTACATGCCAGGTGCTACGCAGTGGGGACTCAAGGTGAACAAGACAGATGCTCTCATGATTTCATGGAGCTCACGATTTAGGAAACAGATAATGAAATTCTAAACAAATTCTAAATTGGGATCAATGCTGTTGCAAAGAAGTATAAGGGGCCATGAGGGTGTGGAATGGGGACCTGGCTTAGATGGCGGGAGAGGTTAGTATGCGGCTTCCTGAGAAAGAGAGGCCCCGGGGTAAGAGCTGACCAGGCAGGGGGTGGAGAGGGTGTCTCAGGGGAGAGGGGACAGCATGCAGAGGGCCTGGGGGTGTTGTTGGAGGAAGAGGAGGGAGAGCAGAGGGGCTGTGGGAGCCCAGGGACCCTGGGGGTGGGTGGGCGCTAAGGGGTAAAGCCAGGGAAGAGGGCAGGGGCCTGGTTGCACAGGGGGGCCTGGAGCCTGTGGACAGAGGTGTCCCCAACAGACTTGTGGCAGTCCTTCTCAAATTGGAAGGCGGCTCCTCTCCTCCCTGAGTCTCCCTTTCTCCACATAAAATGTCCCCGGCACCTCTCACAGTTTGTCAAAGGACTGGTGAGGTGGCCTCACCTGCTGGACTGACTCGAGGCTGTCGTGGTCCCCAGCTGGGGAGCAGGACCCCAACCTCCCGGTGATGACTTATGGGGGAGAGAAGGGGCAGCCCTCACCTCAGGGCAGCGTGGTTGTGGGGACCTGCAGAGTGGCTGCTCTGCCTGCCATGCCTAGGTCCCGTTCACTCTCCAAGCCAGGCCTCTCCCACCCTGGAACTAAACACAGTTGATTTAAAAAAACCCAAAACCTAAATATCTAACTTTACATTTATTATTAATTTCATCTTATACTGATCTCTTGGAGCCTTGATTCAGTCATTCATTACATTATTTCTCGTCCTTGATCAGCCAGGACAGCCCTGTGGCACCTCACTGGAGACTCTTCTGGTGTGAGACAAAGCCCCAGTAATCACTGGATAATTGTTGAATTTACCTCACTGTCTTATTTAAGCTGTACTTCTCTGCCTTTGTCCATTAGGAGGTCATGAAATATTCAATGACATTCTTGTTGAACTCGAGATTTTCTTTATCTATATCTTTCCCTTGGTGCATCACGCTGGTAATAACTACTTCCTCCTCTAGCTAAAAACATGAAATGGCCACTGACAGCTGTGGGGAGGGGTCTGGGCACCTGCTGAAATCACCCCTAAGAATTCCTGATGACGGGTGTCTGGGGTGAACCAGGGCTCTAGGGATCTTTCCAGAATGAGGCTGAGCTAGAGCCCTTGCCAAGGGCATGGCCGGTGGGGGCCCCCACCTTGGATGAGTGCAGGGAACAGGAGTGGCTTTGAGTGTGAAAGCCACTGAAAGCTTCCGACTGGGATGGCGTCCAGGAGGGGGCCTCGGTGTGGGAAGTGGAGCCGCCCAGGGACGCGTGTGAGCAGATGGGGAACGGGCAACCTCCCCCAGCCTCAGACATATGTGTGGCCTTGTACCCCTTCTCAGTGCTTCTCCAGATTCAAGGAGCAACAGGATTGCTGGGGCACATGTTAAAATATAGATTCCTGGGCCTCACCCAAGGGACCCAGATCCAGCAGGTATGGAGGGC